TATGTGGCATTGATGTGCACTGATAGGCACTGATATGTGGCATTGATGTGCACTGGTAGGAACTGATATGTGGCATTGATGTGGCACTGATGGGCACTGGCAGGTGGCATTGATGAGCTGTGACAGCTGGCATTGATGGGTTCTGACAAGTGCACTGTTGGGGCTACACTGATCATCAGGGCACACTGATCATCAGTGCCCTGATGATCAGTGTACATGTCCCCTCTAAGGGATGCCGATTACCTGCTCTCCACTCCTCATGAGCTGTCAGCGTGACATCTCGTGAGGAGAGGAATGCCGATAACCGGCATTTCCCTATTTACAGGTGATCAGCTGTGATTGGACACAGCTGATCACATGACCGAGCCAACATCTTCGGCTCTTTTCCATTGATCGGTGATCTGCTGTGTCCGAGGGACACAGTGCACCACTGATCATTGTGCTGCGCCCCCTGGAGCCGCGCATGCACGGTTAGAGTGGGAGGATGTCATATGACATCCTCCCAGAACGAGAGAACCACCTTGTGCGTTTTTACATTCTTCCTGGATCGAGTGGTCCTCATCCCTATGCTAGGTTATAATCCTAAAAGTGACCTCACTCTTCCACAAGAACCAGGAGATTGTCCTGCCAACATTTAGAGCCTCGGGAGTCGATAACGCTCACCCCCTGGACATAGGTGAGACCTTAAGGCTATACTTGCAGGTCACCGCATCCTTCCATAGGTCGGACCATCTATTCATCCTTTTCCATGGGAAGAGTAAAGAAGACTGGCCATCTCCCAGGTCAATTGCGGCCTGGATGGTCCAGGCCATCCAAATGGCCTACAGAGCTAAGGGCTTGGCGCCTCCGAAGGCGGTGACTGCACACTCAACCAAAAGTGTGACTACGGCTTGAGCGGCTTCTTGGCATCTCGCACAGCAGCCTCGTGGGCCTCAATCAACATGTTTATGGCTCATTACTGTGTAGAGCCTGCCTCCTTATCCTCTGTTAATTTTGGTTTGAAAGTCCTGTTGGTTGAAGGGGAAAATTAAAGTCTTTGTTTGAGTAACTTCCCATACGTATGGTGCTATGGAGTCTGTCAGGAAAATGGAAAATTTCCTATCAAATACTTACCAAAATTTTCCTTTTCTGAGTACCCTCCCAATGCTATGACTAGGCTAATTATGGAACACGGCCTCTGGCAAGGAGCAAGGTTTATGGGAGTGGGGTCCTATAGGAGAAGAGAGGGGCGGGACTAACCCATACGTATACTGCCATGGAGTCCATCAGGAAAGGAAAATTACGGTAAGTATTTGATAGGAAATTTTCCATTTTGTACACTTCAAATAAAGCTCATACAAAAAAAAAGGAAGCACACTACATACACATACACCTCAGGAGCAAGCACACACTGTGTGCCCCTATAGCAAGTGGAAAAAGAGCAGGAGCCAAGATTGCCAACAGGGGACCCAAGAAAATGAAGTTTGGGCCGCTCTGTGCAAAATCCATTGCACAGGGAAGGTGAGAATAACATGTTTTGTTATTTTTTTTTTTAAATTACCCTTTAACACTTTTAGTCTAACTGATCTATATAAGTAGTATAAAGCAGCACTTGCACCTTGATGCAAGCCAATAGTAATTTGCAACAAAGCAAAAGTGCTGCCTCCAACAGACTATCTCTGTATTCCCATTGAAATGATACAATGGCGTAAAACCAAATCCCAACGAGCGTTCACCCGCTATAAATCTGCCTTCTTAACGTACACTTCCTCCCTTCACGCTGCCAAACAAGCCTATTTTATTACCCTCATCAATTCCTTCTCCTCCAGTCCCCGCTGGCTCTTCTCCACCTTTAACTCTCTACTTTTTTTCTGCCTCCACCTCCACCCAGTACCTCACTTACTGCCCACGAGATTGCCAAACACTTAAAAAAACAAGATTGATGCAATTCGTAGGGACTTCGCCACTGCTCAGACACCCATCCCACTTAGCACTCCTCACACAATAACCCCCTCAACACTTTGCTCCCTTGACCTCACTACCACCGAAGAGGTCACTAAGATTTTTCTTTGAAGCCCGCCTCAGCACCTGTCCCCTGGACCCTGTCCCCTCACAACTCCTGCGGTCCCCCTCCTCTTCCATCCTATGCTCCCTCACTCACATCTTCAATCTTTCCCTCTCCACCAGTACCTTCCCCCTCCCCTCCCCTCTAAAGCACGCGCACATCACTCCCATACTTAAGAAACCCTCCCTGGACCCCTCCGACCTGAACAACCTAAGACCCATCTCCCTACTGCCATTTACCTCTAAACTCCTAGAACAATCGCCTGAGCTCCCATCTCACCAACAACCTTCTCGACCCTTTACAGTCCGGCTTCCGCCCCCTACACTCCACCAAAAGTGCCCTACTCAAACTCACCAATGACCTACTAACTGCCAAATCAATGGCCACTATACTATACTCCTACTACTTGACCTCACTGCGGCTTTTGACACAGTTGACCACCCCCTCTTCCTCAAAAAACTGCACTCTCTTGGCCTCAGAGACTCCGCTCTCTCCTGGTTCTCCTCCTATCTATCGCTGCGCTCCTTCAGTGTTACCTATAACGCTGCCACCTCCACTTCACTCCCTCTCTCTGTCGGGGTCCCTCAAGGCTCTGTCCTCGGACCTCTCCTCCTCCTCAAACTCAACCTTTCCAAAACTGAGCTTCTAGTATTCCCCCCAGCCTGTGCCCCCCCTGACTTCTCCATCAAGATCGACAACACTACCATCAGTCCCACCCCTCACGCCAGGGTACTAGGTGTAATCCTAGACTCCAATCTGTCCTTTCAGTCCCAGGTCCAATCACTGACAAACTCATGTAGATTTCACCTCCGCAACATCTCCAAGATACGACCGTTCCTAACCTCGGAAACCGCTAAGCAACTCATTCACTCCCTTATTATATCACGCCTTGACTACTATAACTCCCTCCTCACTGGCCTACCTCATCGCAGGCTATCCCCACTCCAGTCCATCATGAATGCTGCTGCCAGACTCATTCACCTTACTAACCGCTCTGTATCTGCCACCCCTCTCTGCCAATCCCTCCACTGCCTTCCAATTGCCCAGCGGATAAAATTTAAAACACTGATGTATAAAGCCGTTTATAACACTGCCCCTAACTACATCACCGACCTTGTCTCTAAATACCACCCAAACCGTACTCTCCGCTCCTCGCAAGACCTCCTACTCTCTAGCCCCCTTGTCTCCTCCTCCCATGCTCATCTCCAGGATTTCTCAAGGGCTTCACCCATCCTCTGGAACTCCCTACCCCAAGCTATCAGGCTATCGCCTACTCTGCTCACTTTTAGGCGCACTCTGAAAACTCATCTCTTCAGGGAAGCCTACCCCGACCCCAGCTAACTACTGGAATCCCCTACTCCCCCTACCACTCCATCCCTCACAGCTAATTACCTCTTGTATCACTATCCCCTCCCTCCTAGATTGTAAGCTCCAAGGAGCAGGGCCCTCTAATCCCTCTTGTATTGAACTATATTGTTACTGTACTGTCTCCCTCCGTAATGTAAAGCACTGAGCAAACTGTCGGTGCTATATATAAGTCCTGTATAATAATAATAATACACTGGGACATATATATTCAAGAACAGGTTGTGAAGATCGCGGCATCAGACCCCTGACCTTCTCACCAAACTCGTGACCGAAGGACTAGCCAATATAAAACCGCGATGTCAAGTGAGCAACCATGCCACGCCCAGCTGCACCCTGCACAATGATTTTCCAGCTAATGGACCACAAATCGATGCACCGGCAGCCTGAATGTAATTGTTACTGGGTCAGGTTAATTATGCAATTAACACCCTTCACACTGCCACCACCTCCTTTTTGTACAGAGAAAGAGGAAACTCGTCAATATCAGCAATAACACTATGATGGTTGAAATAATCGTCTGTATAGCACTGTCACCGCAGACAGGTTATACAGAGGGTTAAACACACACAGTAGCACTGTTTTAGAGGCAGGAATTCGTAAGTTGCATTAACAAGCTATAGAAACAGTTCAACACTTTCAGAAAGAAAGATTTATTACTAAAAGGTCAAAAGGGTGCAATAAAAATATTTACAGAAAGAAGATGTAACCAATATATATATATATATATATACAAAGAACAACAGCACAGCAAAAGGATAACAGAAAGAAGTTTAAAGGGTTAAAGTACTTGCCAATCAGCCTTGGATTAAGCAGTTTCAAGTCTTATGAGGTCCAGGATGCTTTTGATCTCCCTCTGCTAGTTCGATGTTAAAACACAGGGAGATCTTCTCTTCTCTCTCACACCCAAACTCCAAGCATACCAGCATTTTCTACCAAATTCAGCGGGGTGTCTTCTTACAACAACAGAACCAATTGCCTTGTTTGGGGAGGGGGTTGTGTAAAGGGAGCTGAGGCTTCTTGAACTCAGCAAACATACACCGACCACATTCCTGAGGGAGGCTGATTTGGAGTTTAAGAGAGATACAAGATGCAGGGGTTTTGAGCAAAATGGATGACCGCACCGCACTCTATATGCATGATTGCTACACAGGTCACACCACTAGTGGATACCTTCTGTTTTACACAGGAGGAGGAATCCCAAAATGTATCTGGAATCTCCTGTTTGTGTGAATTTTTTGTACTGAGACAACAGAAACTATTATTACCTGCTGAGAGAAGTTGCTGAAAAGAAAAAAAAAAAAACAATTAAATGCATGCAGAATTCAGCATATGTCATAGGGCTTGTCAGTTAAACTGGCCATAGAAGGCTAGTTTTTTTTTGCTCAGCAAATACAAACAAGGTGGATGATGGAATCCCCCCTTGCTAGGACATTGTATTCTGATAGCGGCATTCAATGCTGTCATTGAATTATTCATTCAATTGAAGTATTCATTCAATTTAATTGCCTAACCATTCCCTTTTTATATAAAAAGAACTAACAACTTTATCTGACAAATTCAATAGTGTGGTGGAATCACTAAAGTCATCCTCAGGGGCGGACTGACCATTTGGAAACTCGGGCACTGCCCGAGGGCCTGGGGTCAGTAGGGGGCCCCATGAGATGCCCCTGGTACCTTTTTCATAGGCTTTTTTGAGTTTGGGCAAGGACACAGGGGCCCCATGATCCCCAGTTGCCCGGGGGCCCCATGAGTTGTCAGTCCGCCCCTGGTCATTCTTTTAACTCTTCTCCACTTTATACAAAACGCAATAAAACAAAGTATTTTCTTCCTATTAGACTACTTGTGTGGCTTGTCAACTGAAATCTAATTAGCTCTACTCACTACTATAGTTAGGACAATTCTTCTTTAAAGCGTAACTAAACCCACTGATTTAACTGTTTCCCAAAACAGTTAATTAAAAGTGGAATTCAAGTCTAGAACTAATTAAGCTTAAGGCCTCATGCACACAGGGCTTCTTCTTTTTTTTTTCTTTTAACTCTCCTATAAGCCAGCAGATGCTTGTAAAAGTGTCTAATGCTTTTACAAGCATTTAGTCGCAATTACAGGAATTATGCGCAATTACAGGAATTATGCGCTTTGCCATTAATTAATTTAATTGGCCAGAATAAATAATTTAACACGTCTAGGCTCATTTGGATGCGTTTTTACAAGCATTAAGCCTTTTTGTATGCCCAAACGCTGCTGTTCCTGGACACTCTGGCAGTAGGTTTTTATTTTCCTTGACTCTGAACTCTCCTGACACTAAACGCTAGTAAAAGTCTATGTGTGCATGGACTCATAGGCTAACATGCAGGGGAGTTTAGAGGCAGGAAAGAAGAGCACTTGATGCCCCTAGGAGGAGCTGCAAAAATGTCCTGTGTGCATGAAGCCTGAAACTGCTCCCTTCCCCAACACTTACAGTATACTAACTATCCTGTAGAAGGAAGATGCATATACTTGCCTATTCTCAAGGCACTCTGGTCTGGTCATGCAGCCGGCTTCAGGGCAGAGGAGAGACAGCTAACATCTGATGCCCCATAGTAAGCCTAAAGGTGATATCACTGGCCATGCATTCCATTCATTCTTGGCAATCTCTCCCATCCCCTGAAGCTGGTGGCTGATGTGGAGATGAAGATACTAGACTGAAGCATTCTGAGAATAAGTACATGCAGGAAGGGGTTGGGAGCGGTTTTATGTGGTTAGTTCTAGATTTGAATTCCACTTTAAAGTATGCAGTGAGTAAACTGTCACAGCTGCTTGTGCTCCCTAGCCATCAAATGGCTGATGTTATAACTGATTACATGTGGAACACTATGGCAACTGCAGATCAAACAAAAAGGCTAAGATGGCAGATTTCTTTGTTGTAAAGGATGGGAAGGTTTAGTTTTTACATATTCTAAATATGTCACAAGAAAAATAGGTAAACTGCCACTGCTGAATTCCTTTTTGAAAACGCTATGGAATTGATTTTTTAAATTGAATATATCTTAATCTTTTTAATTGTTTCAGGACTAGGAATAGCCACAGACGAGTTGAAAACCAAACAAAATATGTGTCAATTATCAAATCGTTATTTTCCGCATCATTAGTGTGCCAGCTGCGACACGTGATTTTCTAGCCGCAATCGAAAGTGCCTGATCCAACATGCCTCCCTTACTCTATCGAAAATGGGAAAAAAAAAATGTGTTGCCTGTAGTTCTACGTTATGGTCGTGTATAATTTCCTTTGGGGCTTATAACCAGTGCTGATGATCACAACATTAAGACTGAACACATTACCGATTAGTTTGTGTAACACATCTGTTCATCTTCTATTAGCATATCTTCCATACTATCAATTTAACAGAAAACAATACTGTGTACCCTTTCCCCTGTCATGTACTGCTCTCGTGTGTCCAATTGAAGGGCTCCAGCCATGGTTTCTCTTATATTAAAGAGCAGCATTACCAGCCAGGTCAGGGTTATTTAGTGGGTTGCATGCGTTCTGTATTGTGCTTTCTCCTGCCATATATCAGGAGGTGAAACAACTCCAATGTTGGCCCCACACATGGCATTTTGTTTTAATTTAAACCACTTTCAACCAGTGTTCAACTTCAAAAACAACCAACACGTAAGAAAATGTAATAGTGTCAATAGGAACTGCTGGTGGTGGGCTGCATTTATCTTTATAATTTGATTGTTTATTGAAAATGTTTGTGATTACCTAAAAACTTCAGTGTAAGTGTCCCAATAAGATTGGAACTCTGGGAGGCTGAAAGATAAGCATCTCCAGAAGAATATTTAACTGTATAAAACTGTTGCTGAGCAAAGGAATTGCAACTTTCACTTGCACAAATACAGCAGATACTAATTTGTATAACAGATGGTTGTGCTGCTGCAGTTTCTTTTCTTTTTTTTTCAGAAATCGCCTATTTCTTTAGCATTTATGCTTTGTTGAACACAACAGAGCAAATTCCAGCAAACCGTGCCCAGGATAAATGATCTTCTAAATGGCCAACCACCCTAAATGTTAATCCAGGCATGAATTAATAATTCTTTTTTTAGCAGCAGTTATTTTGGCCTAATTGTTACTTTATAGTTTTGTTTTGTTTTTTTTTTTGTTACTGGGTTAGTGTCAGACATTAGATGGAAATCTGGCGTTGTTTTCTAAATCATAGCAAGCTGTTTTGGATAACATGTATTTCAATTCTGATAATATTTTATGACATTGAAGAAATGTCTAATAATGTGAACCTGTAAGGCCCCATTCCTGGACCATGGGAGACTTCCGTGTTAAACCTGGAGGGCCAGATATAAAGTGAAGAGGGGAATCGTTGCCATTCACTTACACACAGTTATCTCTCAAGACAGTTTCAGTAGCTTGCAAGCGAACACTTAGCAGTGTCCCAGACCATGCCCTGTAGCACTTAATTGGCTGATCCTCATCTTCTGCAGACTCTGGCTTTCACTCGCTGGTTTCACTGTTCAATTTGGGAAACCTCTTAATGCCTTCTTTAGGAATGAAACCTAAACTGACTACTTACATACAGGACACTAAACCCAAGACATGCTATGCTGTTCTATATCAAGGTTGTGCATTTGATTGTGGAAACTTCCATCTCTCCCATCACTTTAAGATTCAGAAATGTAGTTTAACAAAGACTGTGCACTCATAATTGGTGCACAGACAAAAGAAATGCACTTGCTTGTTATTTGTAAGGATGACGTTGCTGTGTCAAAGCAATGAAGGCAGTTGTAAAGTGCAGTTAAAGGCTCAGTAATCCAAACTCACTAATGAGTATTTTAAACGTACACCATTCTACATGGACACTGAATGCGATGGTCGCTGTATCACCCACTCTTGAGACCCATGGAGTACTCTTGCAAACTATTGAATGCCTTACAGACTTATGACTGTATAATGCAGGACAGATTCTATGACACTTGGTAGATGGGGGATGGCAGTAGGTACCTGATTTAGACTAATAAGCTAGGGTTTCAGTTCCAACCTTTTACCTCCCTCTCACTGCCACTTCCACTTACTTGTTATGCCTGCCTTTTTCTACCATGACCCTCTTCCTTTTCCTCTTCCCCCATGTTTTGTACCTTCCCTTCCCTGTTTTCCCTGGCAGCAATATATGGTCTGAACATCAATCAAAATTAAAAACTACTCTTTGAATGCACTCTCATCCTGGGTGGAGATACATGTGACTGCATGTACTTCTTCACATATATTAGTTCTCTCCCTAATCCATGACAGAAATATTCCTATATTTCATACTGAAATCAGATTTAGGTAATGTAATATGGTCAGATCTCACAGTATCAATCCAGGTCCCATTATTGCCCAACAAATCTCCAAGAGCATGGCCTTGAAATTTAAATAAAAGTCTTTTCCAGATACTCCAAATCATAGAAGATGTAGTCTAGGAATTAGATTTGTACTATTTTTCGAAACACTACTGATAACAATGAACCTATATTAGTTTGGGAAGACCATAAACCAGAGGTGGGCAACCTGCGGTCCTCCAACTATTGCAGAACTACAAGTCCCACCATGCCTCTGCCTCTGGGATTCATGATTGTAACTCTCAGTCTTGCAATGCCTCATGGGAAATGTAGTTCAATAACAGGTGGAGGGCTGCAGGTTGCCCACCCCTGCCATATAACGTACATTCGAGGAATTTTCATTAAACATGGGTTCAGGGTTAAAAGGGAAAAGAAAGTAAAAATCACTCAACTACTCAAAGAAATTCACTAGTTGGAGACTGAACCTAAAACTAGACCAGACCCCAAAGCAGAAGCAGAACTCTAATCCCTCCGACAATAAATTAACTCTTCTAATTGGACGTGGACATGGTATACTTGGATTTTGCAAAAGCGCTTGACACAGTTCCCCACACATGGCTAATGTGTAAGGTAAAGTCTACGGGCTTGGAAAAATCTGTATGTAAATAGCTGGAACACTGGCTAAAAGATCGTATTCAAAAAGTAGTGGCTAATGAATCATACTCTGAATGGTCTGGGGTCATCAGTGGTGTACCCCAGGGTTCAGTGTTGGGACCCTTACTTTTTAATACATTTATAAATGATATAGGGTCTGGGATTAAAAATCCCATTTCAGTCTTTGCAGATGACATCAAGCTATGCAGTGGAATAACGTCCTTACAGGATGTCTTCAATTTACAAGCCGACCTCAATGCACTGTTTAATTGGTCAACTATGTGGCAAATGAGGTTTAATGTTGATAAATGTGAGGTTACTTGGGGGCTAAGAATATGCATGCATCATAAATACTAGGGGGAGTACAACTGGGGGAATCAATGGTGGAGGAGGATCTGGGAGTTCTGGTAGATCACAAGCTTAATAATGGCATGCAATGCCAAGCTGCGGTTTCTAAAGCGAACAAAATCCTCTCTTGTATTAAAAGAGGTATAGACTCCAGAGAGAGATATCATATTACCCCTGTACAAATATTAGTAAGACCTCATCTGGAATATGCAGTTCAGGTTTAGGCACCAATTCACAAAAAGAGGTGAGCAGCAGCCAGGATGGCTGCCTTCTAAATCTGTGCTTTGGCCGCCGGACACATCGGCCGATTTTCGCCCTCTAGGGGGGGTCCCCCCATTTCCTCACTGGCCCCCTGTCTCCCTGGTGCCCTGATGGGCAAAAAAACGCCGGACGCCCGTGCCTCCAGCTCCCGGTGGGCTGTTCCGAAGTTTGCGGCCTACCCGCCGGAG